AAAAACAAACAAACAAAAACAAAGCATAAATGCAGGACAGAAATAGACTCATGGACAGAGAATACAGACTTGTGGTTACCGGGGGCGGCGGGGGGAAGAGGGTGGGAAGGGATAGACTGGGATTTCAAAATTGTAGAATAGATAAACAAGATTACACTGTATAGCACAGGGAAATATACACAAAATGTTATGATTGTGAAAAAAAAGATTAAACTGGAAAAAAAAATAAACTTTGTGTTCCCAAAAAAAAAAAAAAAAGATCTTTGTATCAAACGGTATAGTATTTGCATATAACCTACGCACATCCTCCTGTATTCTTTAAATCATCTCTAGATTACTCATAATACAATGTAAATGTTATGCAAATAGCTATAAATACTTTGTGGAATTTTTTTGGAATATTTTCCATCCACTGTTGGTTGAATCCATGAATGTGGAATCTGCAGATATGGAGGGCCGACTGCACTGAACTCTTTACAGATGAAATGACATTAAATTTGCTTTAGTATAACCTAGGGGAAGTGGAGGGAGGGTAAATAAGATTGACAAGATTTTGATAATTATTAAAGCCAGGTGCTGTACAGTAAACCAAGCTGGTTGACCTATTCTCTCTGCTTTTACATATTTCTAAATTCCCATGATACAAAAACATTTTTTAGACTGCAACTGATCAAAACAATTACATATGTAAAAAATGCTATCAATTGATAATAAGAAACTCATACAAAGAAAAAGCCAAAAACAGCACAAAATTAAAATGTAACCTCAAAATTACATATACATACACACAAAATCTTTTTTTGTCACCATTGCAGAAGCCTTTCCTATATGAAATCTTCAAAGAGCCTTAGTTAATGAAGGGTATCTTTTAAGAATTTCTAGCCAACCAATATGGAAGGAAAAACAGAACTGGATCATTTTGCAGCCCTAAAGAAAGTCAAGCAATGATCATCAGTAGGTGCTGTAATCATTGAAAGAAAGGTTTGTGGGCAATCTGACCACAGCATTTCTCCACAGAGTACCTGCTGGTCATGAGCAGAGAAACTCAGTGTTATAACGGAGGGTCAGACTGATAAACCCTGGCAGCATCCGAGCGGGGCAACCTTTGGGGATGGGAGCACAGTGGGAAGTACACAGTTCTTCCAAAATGTGTTCTTGCCAAAACTTTTGAAATTCAGTCCAATCAAGCCTTTAGATCTAATTTCCAGTTTACAGGAAATACAGAAATTAGGAACAAGTTAAATGACATCATGAGGAAACAAATAGCCAAATCCAGATTTTTACAGGACAAGTCAAAGGCATGAAAAGGGTTGGGGATCAGGGGTAGGAAGAGGTAACTGTTCTTTATTAAAATAAA